GGGTTCTGCAGGCTCTGCAGTGGCTCATCCGTAGTGTCTCTCGATGACGGCCGGTTTGATGGTTTTGGACGGCTCTCCATCGGGGCATGGATATCGAATTGCTGTTGTAACTGCGACCAAGGAAATTGGGGAATCCACCAGACGCCGGGCTGCGCTCACCAATGTGTGATGTAAATGGGAAGAGAGCGAGGAACGAGAGAAACACGCCTACCTGTATGCATGTGGGCCCAAGCTGAATGCCGTGGTCTAACTTACCACAACACTCGAAAGTCTGGTTGAGGACATGCTCGTTGAAGGTCCGAAGTGGAGCCGTTGGTAGCGTTGCATCGTTGGTCTAGTATGTGAAGTTACTATGTTGTGCTGATGCTTGATACTGTTTACCTCTCATTATTGGTAATTGAAGCCGTTTTGGGTCTTTCTGTGTGCATATTGACAAGAGCGCAGTATGAATGATGTTATGGAGTTTGTCGCGATTCGATGTAATCTTGGAAATGAGCATGCAGCTGCATGTACTGCATGTAGTGTGACGACGACAAAATTTCGCAAAATCTGCATCAAAGTGCCTGTGGCTTGAGCATTCAGATGAGAAGTAATGCGATGGAAAGAAAGGAAGTTGCCAAACGCGTTACTATAGCCTCTGTAGACGAATATGATTGCGACACAAGATAGAGTCGTGGTAGTTTCAAGTTGGCGTGCCCGCTAGCGCGCCAAGATTTCGAGGCGGTCAGTGATGGCAGAAATAATTCTAGGACTGCACGCGAACGGAGATTCTGCGTGCAGTAATGCAACCATACCAAGACAATTCGGAGTCGCAATATCAGATCGCAATAATTACAAGACTCCATTTTGTAGTTTCACAGTATCTCCCTCAAACATGGCGACTGAACGCGGGGAAAAGCCCAGCACCGCAGTCCGGCGCAAGTCGCAAAACAGCGCACCAGTCCAAGACGAAGATGCCCGCGCAATCGCAGAGTTTACCGAAAAGGCCACACAACAATACGGTCGCGGCGAGCGGATACGGCCTAAATCAGTAAAGGACAAGAAGCTCCGGTCGAATATCAAAGCGCTCGAAGCGAAGAACAAGCAGGCGGCGATAGAGGCAAAGAATGTCGAGGTCCTCCTTGAGCACAATGCGGGCTTGTTGGAACCAGAAACTGAGCTGGAAAGAACATACAGGGTACGGCAAGATGAGATCAAACGCGAGGTCAGCATCGAGACGGCAAAGAAGAGCTTTGAGCTGCGGTTAGACGGTCTAGGACCGTACGATGTATGCGAGTACAGTCGGAATGGGCGTGATCTTCTGATCGCGGGCAGAAAAGGGCACGTCGCCACGTTTGACTGGAGAGATGGGAAACTGGGCTGTGAACTCCAACTCAACGAGACAGTGCGAGATGCGCGGTGGTTACACACCAGCAACCAGAAGAACTTTGCCGTGGCGCAGAAGAAGTGCGTCTACATCTACTCGGGCGACGGTGTGGAGATGCACCAGCTCAAGAACCACGCCGAAGCCACACACCTCGAATACCTGCCTTACCACTTCCTCCTCGCCTCGGTGTCAACGGCCGGCATAATACGATACACCGACGTCTCGACCGGTCAGTCGCTGCCACAACTATACACCAAACTCGGTCCTTCTACAGCTTTTGCGCAAAATCCTCACAATGCCATCCTTCACGTTGGTCACCAAAAGGGTCTCGTCACATTATGGTCACCCAACAGCGCTACACCACTCGTAAAGCTCCTCCCACACCGCGGCCCCGTACGTAGTATCGCAATCGACCGATCAGGCACCTACATGGTCAGCACATCGCAAGACCGACGCATGTCCGTCTGGGACATAAGGATGTTCAAAGAGCTACACTCGCACCATCTGCGCGTGCCAGGAACCACACTCTCAATCTCAGACCGCAACCTCACAGCCGTGGGATACGGCACCCAAGCTGCCATCTACAAAGACGACCTATTCCGCCTACACGCAGACTCGCAACCCCCCCCAACAATGCCGTACATGGCCTGGGGCGGTGCCGGCCAAAACATCTCCCGCGTCCGCTTCTGCCCCTTCGAAGACATCCTCGGCCTCTCTCACGACGCAGGCTTCTCCTCCATCATCGTCCCCGGCGCCGGCGAACCAAACCCCGACACCCTCGAGCCCGGCACAAACCCCTACGAAACCTCCAAGCAACGCCGCGAAACAGAAGTCCACGCCCTGCTCGAGAAGATTCAACCCGAGATGATTGCTCTCGACCCCAATTTCATCGGTAACCTCGACCTCGCGTCGCACGAGGAGCGGCAGAAGGAGTATAAAGCCCGCAGGGGCGAGCGGGAACCCGACAAGGTTGATTTACTGAAGAAGAGGGGGAAGGGGAGGAATAGTGCGTTGAGGAGGTATTTGAGGAAGAGTGGGAGTCGCAATGTTATTGATGAGGAGAAGGAGCGGGCGAGGGAGGCGATGCGCAGTTTGCAGAAGAGGCAAGTAGAGAAGAGGGAGAGGTTGAAGAAGGAGTATGGACCGGCGTTGGAGAGGTTTGCGCGGAAGTGATGGGGGTAAGCGAAGGCAAGGCGAGGGGAAAAGTAGGAGCATTTTCATGGTGTTTTTGGAATGTAGTCTGATACCTACAATAACCCATCATGAACGGTTCTGCACTAGGAATTATACAAACTAAGAAAAGTAAACGCCATACGATTTTCCTATCTAAGAAACCCTATCCTTAAAGCATAACTTCCCCCCACTACCAGTGAACCCATCCACGCTCTACTCTGCCCCCTCCCCCTTCCAAGCCCTCGCCCCCCT